CCCCTCTCTGCTTCCACTTCTCTGAGGGGCTGACCACCCCTCAGAATGTCCCACCACACTCCCTACATTAGCACAGAGCAGCTGGTCCTGGTCCATGGACCAATAGGGTGGGAGCCCCCTGACCTGGTCACAGGGTCACAGGGCCTGGACTCAGCTCACCTCACCTGGCCACTTTGTCACCCACAGTCCCCCGGGACAGGGAGGGTCACAGGGTCACGATCCACTGGGTGGACACCCCCAGGCCTGGTGGACGCCAGATCATGACCTACGATAGGCAGGAGCCACTGCCCAGGTGAGCCCGAGAAGGGGACATCCCAAGCTGAGGCTTGGGAGACACCCGGGTGGGGGAGCAGAAGTGTCCAGGGGCTCCTTTGCAGGGGGTGAGAGCAGCACTGAGCCCAAGTTCCACTCCTCTGCGCCACTCACCTGGCCCTTCACTGCCCACAGCGCCCACACCTGGCCTCTATCTGTGCACCTCCCAGCATAGAGGACATCCCCCACATGACCCAGAATGGGCTCAGGGAGATGAGGATACTGGGGTGGCACCCTCTCTGCTTCCACTTCTCTGAGGGGCTGACCACCCCTCAGAATGTCCCACCACACTCCCTACATTAGCACAGAGCAGCTGGTCCTGGTCCATGGACCAATAGGGTGGGAGCCCCCTGACCTGGTCACAGGGTCACAGGGCCTGGACTCAGCTCACCTCACCTGGCCACTTTGTCACCCACAGTCCCCCGGGACAGGGAGGGTCACAGGGTCACGATCCACTGGGTGGACACCCCCAGGCCTGGTGGATGAGGGCCACCACAGGACATGTGCTCCCACCCATGGATGTCTGAGTCACAGCAGGATGAAGAGAGAGGAGAGAGAAGACACTCGGATTTAAAGGAAGAATTTTCCCTCCTTTTCTCCTTCCCACCCTCTCCATGTCCTCGCTGGACCCTCACTCCACTTCATCTCAGGGTCTGACCACAAGAGGCCAGGGACAGCCTCATCCTAAAATGCCCCAAAGCACTGTCCAGCCCTGGTCCGGTACCCTAGGGACCACAGCACTTGCCCATGGAGGGTGCTCCCCAGGGGACATATTGCCTGGGCCCCCGTGAGCCTGGCCAGAGGAAAAGGCAGAGCACTGCTATCCTGGGGGCCATGAGTCGGAGCTCCTCAAAGGGGTCTGTCCCCACCTGATGGCTGGGAGCTCAGGACCCACCCAGCCCAGCAGGACAGCTCTGTGTCCCCTCTGATGGGAGCTCAGGTTCCAGACCATCTTGGTGTCCAGATGGACTAGACTCCAGGGCCCTGAGCCAGGGTGAAGGCCGAGGGTGATGTGTGCAGAGGGAGGGGAGACCCAGGGCCGGGGGTGACCAGGAGCGCTCGGAGCCTGAGGACAGAGATGGGGCTGGGACAGGGTGCAGGACCCTGGGACCCACCTGAGGGTGGTGTGGAATCCTCCTCTGCCACCTGCAGCTCCAGGGGCTCACTGCGCTCAGACCGGCCATACACATGTTGATAGATGCAGGTATAATTCCCGGCAGTGTCTTCACTCACCGCGGGGATGTTGAATGTGACCTGCGTCCTCTGTGAACCATTTTGAGGCACACTTATCTGATCAGGGTGTACAGGTCTTCCATCCTTCTCCAGGTGGAATGACTGAGCCCAAACTAGGGAACTGCACACGAAGCTCACAGGCCTTCCCCGGGGGACCACAGGGCCAGGTTCGGCCCTGAGGGAGGGTTTGGGCAGGAGCCCTGAGAGGAAGCAGAGCAGGATCTCAGCCTCCATCATGAGGAAATTGCCACGCCTCACACCTCATACCTCCCGTGTTTTAAGTGAATATGTCAATGATGCTTCAGAAACTTGCAGAGTTGTGCAACCACCACCACAGCCCAAATCTAGACCATTTGAACCATCCCTTCCTCAAGAGACCACCCCTCTGCCCCCTCCAGGAGACTGAGTACTCATCCCTACAGGGACTTCCCCACGTGACACAAGTTCTGATGAAAGCATGGCTTTTCTCAGGGGGACATGGGAGGAGTCAGAGCAGCCTGGGCTTCTGGGTAGGTCCCCCTCCCCATGGCCACTCTCTAGGGGGGCAGGCAGGGCTGGGAGGGAGGCAGAAAGTGAGGATGAGGAGGTGATTCATGGGGACAGGGACGCTAGAGTGGGAGATGGTGGGTATGGCCTGGCTGGGTCTGAAGGCACCAGAGGGAGATTGTGGGGACCAATGGAGGCTGCAGGGCTCCATGGGAAGTCTAATGGGTTTGGGGATGCAGTACCAGCCCAAACCTGTTCAAAGACCGAGAGTGGGCGAGAACCCCTAACTCCTGGGCATGGCCCCTGAGCAGCACTCACTCAGGTTCCCTCTGCATTTCTGACCTTCCTCTCAGAACATTTCCTCTTCCTTGTGATTGAGGCTCCTGAAACCCCAAGTGTCTAAACTGGGCTGGGCAAGGGGAGAGAGGGTTCTGGTCCTGAAACAGGAGGAAGGCATCCAAGTTACCCAAACCCCATAGAGGCAGGGGCTGGCCGAGCCCCACCCCTCATTCCCTCATTCCTTCAGCCACAGCTTAGCTCCTATCTCTTCCTTTACAGACGCCTCCTTGTGCCACTGGCTCCACAGCCTCCTAAGACAGTGAGGATCACAGGGTCAGGATCAACTGGTGGACACCCCCAGGCCTCAATGTTGGGGGCCACCTCAGGGCTTGTGCTCACACCCATGGGATGTCTGAGTCACCCCAGGATAAAGAGAGAGGAGAGATAAATTTTTCCTCCCTCCTTCCCTCCTTTCCTCCCTCCTTCTCTCCCTCCCTCCCTCTCCATGTCCTTGCTGGACCTGACTCCAGTTCATCTCAGAGTCTGACCACATCAGGCCAGGGGCAGCCTCATCCAAAAATGACCCAAAGCACCGTCCCACCCTCTTCAGGGACCCCATGGACCACAGCACTTGCCCATGGAGGGTGGATTCTAGGGGACACATTGCCTGGGCCCCACAGATCCTGTCCAAGAGAAAGGACAGCTCAAAGGCTGGCAAATACACCTGCAGCCCCTTTCCTATGTCTGCCTTTGTCGTCCAGCCTGCAGGCACATGCAATGGCCGGAGGCCTGGCAGCCATCTTGCTTCAGGAGGTCCCGTTAGAGCTGGTGGCCCAGCACTCTAGCTGTGGAGCAGAATGAGGGAGCTGCCTCCCTGAGGTCCCTCTGGGCAAGGGTGGGGGCCATGCTGTGTCTGGCAAAACCCCACAGAGCTGGCCTCTCTGCGAGTGAGATTGAATAGCGGCTGAGATGTTGTCTGTTCTGTGCAGCGATGTTGTGGGGGGGGGGCGGGTAACGTGGGGGGAAGAGAAAGGACTAGACCCCAGGCAGACCTGTGTTGCGCGCCCACAGGTATGAGGTGAGAGCACCCTGAGGAGATCCTGGTCCCTCTGAGCTGAGATGTGAGGGACACGCAGGAAGCAGGTCAGCTGAGCGGTCAGGGGAGGCTGGGGCGTGGGTGGGGGAGACGGACCTGATGTGGGTTGAGCTCAGCATGTGTGTGAAAGGGAAAGAAAACCAACGTTTCTGGAGATGAGGGAGACAGACAGAGCAGGCAGGACGTGGCTGAGGGAGGCACGGGCACAGGACCCA